CCATATCCATTTAATCACTTGGTTTCTTGGGTCTTTGTTGTAGTGGGTCTGGGTAGGCCTAGTTCACCATCTTTGGACCACCACGGTTTCATGTTTTTCAATTTTAATTTATATGAAGACTGGTATATGAGATCAGTAAGGCTCTAACTTTACTTATTTCTCAGAAGTTAGTCCTGTCCTCATCTTTACTGTATTCTAAATAAATGCTCATTTATGTTGGGGTTAGTTTCTGAACTCTATGATCTGCTCCATACAACACTAATTTATTGTAGCGTTACAGTACTTTCTCATGTTTAATCCATACCACCATTTTTAAGAGAAACATTTACTTTTTGTAATTTTGTGATTTGGATGACAGTTTACAGAGCAAATTGGTTTTCCATTCAACAATCCATACACATTATGTTTTGTGATATTTACTGCAGTCCCCACACTGTAACAGCTTTCTTCCCACTTCCTCACTGCACCTACCTCTTCCCTTCAGCCTTCCTTTCCATCCCCTCCCTCATTCCTAGCTCTATCCCCTTGGGCAAATGCTGTCCTTTTGATCTCATATGCTTGATTGTTATAATGAGTGCACACCCTCCTGATGTTACTGTTCACCTTATAGGCCTATCTATCGTTTGGCTGCCAGTTGAGTCATGGAGGTTCAGTTTAGTTCCTAGCTTGAAGGATGTCTAAGGGCCACAGCCTTGGGGGTTCCACCAATTTTCATCAGACAGTGAGCCTGTTTTTATTTTATTTTTTATGATTTTGAGTTTTGTTCCACATTTTATGCCACTCTATCCAGGACCTCTTATTGCAAACCCTTTCAGAGTGGTCAGCAGTGGTAGCTGGGCACCTTCTAGTTCTGGTCTCAGGGTTGTGGAGGCTGGGGTTCATGTGCTCCATTAGTCCTTTGGAATAACTGTGTCCTTGAGTCTTTGATTTTCTTCATTCCTCTTTGCTCCAGATGTAGAGAGACCAATAGTTGCACCTTAGATGTCTGCTCACAAGCTTTAAGACCCCAGTCACTACTCACCAAAGTAGGATGTAGAACACTGTCTTTATGGACTGTTATGCCAACTGACCATAGTGTCCCCCAAGACAATCGTCCTGAACTTCCATATCCAGTGACTCATTTCTTCAAGGTGTCTGGTTATAACTAAGACATTTTCATAACTTTGTCCCCTGTATGCTCTACTACATTTGAAACATTTACAGTTCCCCATGAACTTTAGAGTAATTCTGCCAAGACACTTCCCTCTATCAAAAAATAAGAAAAGTGATTTTTTAAAAGGCATGCATAAAATACACTGAAAAAGCACTGTTCTTATTAAAGTCTGATTTCAGTAAAAATTCTCCAGTTTTTCATAAAGATATTATACTGTCTATTTTCTAAGGTGTATTGGTGGTGCAGTGGTTCGAACCCACCAGCTGCTCTGCTGGAGACAGATGAGGGAGTCTGCTTCTGTTAAGATTTATAGCCCTGACAACCCTATAGGGCAGTTCTACTCTGCCCTGTAGGGTTCACTATGAGTTGGAAACTATGAGTTGGAAATAGCCACTATTTTCTCTTATTGGTTTTAACATTTTTTTTTTTTTTAAATGCTGATTCTGAGGTTATTCTGGTGGACCAGCTATTCTCAAAAGGATTTGAGCTCATGGCCTCTAGCTGCCCTTCAGGTGTGGAATTGAACCCACTCTCATGGCTTCCAGCCAAACAAAAGACAGGCATATGAGCTGAGCATTTACATCAGGTAGATACACTCCTTGGAGAGATCAATCATGGGAGAATAGAAGGGCTGTGTATGCACAGGGAGACAGCTCGAGGGGCAGGAGTGCATGGGAGGGAAAGATACAGGGAAGAGATAACTATGAGGAGGAAGTGGGAAGGGATGTGTTGCATTGTGGGAAACTGCATTGTAGTCAATGTCGTGAGACAAAGTATATGTAAGCTGCTGTATGGAAAGTAAATTTGCTCTGTAAACTTTCACCCAAATCACAATAAAAAATTACAACAAAACAAAACAAAGGATTTTAGCCCTTAGGAGGCATGCTTTATTGTCACAAAGATTTAGGGGCATACTTGCAGGGAACCAGGGAGACTTGATTTCCTGCAATGCTTATGACCAAAACCAAACCCTTTGCTGCTGAGTTGATTCCAACTTACAGTGACCCTACAGGACAAAGTAGAACTGCTCCAAGGGTTTCCCAGGCTATAAATCTTTATAGAAGCAGACTGCCCTGTCTTTCTCCTGCAGAGCAGCTGGCGGGTTCAAGCCAGTGACCCTTCAGTTAGCAGCCAATTGCTCAACCACTGTGCCACCAGGGCTGCTACACTTACGACTGCCATCCAGTTGATTCTGACTCACAGTGACCCCCTTTGGGTTTCCAAGGTGCTAAATCTTTATGGAAGTAGATTGCCCAGTCTTCCTTCTGTGGAGTGGCTGATGGGTTTTAACTGCCAACCTTCTGGTTAGCAGTCAAATGCCTGAGGCACTATGCTACCAGAGCTCCTTATACTTTTGATGGTTCCCCCATAAAAGAATCCCAATCAACTTTTAAGCGTCCTGCCAGAATTAAAAACGTGTTTATAATATGTTCCTTCAACCTAATTCCATTTTATTTTTAAACCAAAGATTTTTTTAGTGTAATTTTAATATTCACTGACTTTTCCAAGAGGTATGGCGCATATAAATAGAAGAAATATTATACTCTGTTTTATTTGGAACTTTACCAAGTTGAGCAATTCAACAGAAATGCTGCTTCTAGTAATTGAGATACTAGGATACACCTGTACCCTGCAACTGTAGCTGTCTATCATGCTGATCATACGGGTACTGCATCTGACTACTTCAGTTTGCCTTCTCATGTGGTCCTGCCCAAGCACCTACATACTGAAGTACCTATTATTTTATTATCAGTTATATTTAGTTCTCCTTTACAACTAGGCTATTAGGTTAATTAGAATAAAAATAATGTGTAAAGCATATTATCATGAATCTCAATTTCAGATTAGTAAAGAAGAATTACAAAGCATTATTATTAAAAAGGGAAAACTAGACTTAATGGATTTAAGAATTACTTAGGTAGATAATATCATCTGCAAATAATGAAAAAGGCCTTTTCACTTCCAATATCCAAGCTACTAATTTTTTATTGGTCAGAATTATAAGAACACTGCTGAAAAACACCAAGGATAGCAGGCATCACTGTTTTGAGGATGTCTACCATGTTAAAGGGGAGCTCTGGTGGCGCAGTGCCTAAGGCACCTGACTGCTAACCAAGGCTGGCGGTTCAAACTCACTAGCTACTCCTCAGAAGGAAGACTGGGTGATCTACTTCCATAGAGATACTACCTCAGAAACCCAAGGCAGGGTCAGTGAATTTTTTTTTAAATCATGTTGAAGACTAGATCTTCTAGATCTAGTCTATCAATAATCTGGAATGAAGGTAAAATTATCAAGTCTTTTTTGGCATCTATTGAAATAATCATATTTTCCCCCATTAATCGGCTACTGTGATGAATTATATTAAAATATTTTCTAATATTGCTCATACAGTAGTACTACTCTTCAGAGGTAGATTCAAAATGCTATCACTTTATTTAAAATTTTTGCATTATATAATGTGTGAGGTTGATCTACAATTTTTTTTTTTGCCAGATTTCTATATAAGGGTTATGCTTTCTTTAATAAGTGCCTGAAAAGTATGTCTTCTCTTAAGGCTCAAGTAATTTATTCCTTGAAGTCTGAAAAAACTCACCTGTAAAAACCACCTTGTGAAGGGACAGTTCTTTGTTACCTTTTAATTTCTTCCATGGTTTTGGTCTACTCAGCCTTTCTTCTTCAGTCAATTTTGGTTATTTACATTTGCCTATAAAATGATCCATTCCATCAAAATATTCAATTTATTCTCACAGAGCAAACTCAGAATCCAAAAATATTCTCCTCAGAATATGACTTTATTCCCATTTTTATTTCAAAATGTGAATATTATTTTCTTTACTACGTTTGCCAAAGGCTTATTTATTTTATTCATCTTTTTAAGTAACCAGCTTATAGATTTATCAATTCTATTGTTTTTGATCAATTTATTTCTACTTTTACCATCTATTTCTTTTCTCCTTTCTTTTGGTTCTTTTGCTATTTGCTTTTTAACTACTTAGGGTGAATGCTTATGTCATTTATTTATACTCTGTTATTAGTATTTTTGTTTTGTTTTAAATTATTGCTTTTTCTTTCTGTGTAGCTTTGGCTCATCCCATTAAGTTTTTTTTTTTTTTTTAATTTCCATTTAATTTTTATATATAGTATTCTCATTATGATTGATTTCTAAATATCTACAAATGCCTTTTCCATTTTAACACCCAGTATTTAGAAGTCTCCCCACCAAGAAGTTCTATTTTTTAATAAACTTGCCATTTACTTCTAGTTTTATAGTGAAGTTCTATTAAATAATAGAAAATTCAAAAAGTAAGTTTTATGGAAACTATCACTTAAATGTTGACATTTAACCTAAAGAAACATAATAGAGCAAAGACAAATTCCTCAAAAGGATTATATACATACATTTTCAAGATCCTTGATTTTTATCTCATTCGATACTTTTATAAATATGCAATGAGGTATTTATGCAATATCTTTGCAAACAAAAAGCTCACAGTAAACACAGTAAGGCTATTTAAGAAATTTTAGCACTAGGCCCATAAAAACAGTGTTAGATCATTACATTCTAAAACTAAGCTCAGTGGCAGTAGATGTTGAAATGAAATTCATGTAACAGAAGGCCCGATCTGGTCCTTTCTTAATCTATTTGTTTCCTAGGAAGTCCCTCTCACTCATAAGTGAGGAGAAATGAGTATGCCTCGCTGACTGGTTGATTCTTCTATTAACTTGGAAATGTATTAAACAAATTATAAAATAAAATGCTGCTTCATTATCTCCCATAGTACGAAGATAAAGGCCAAATACTACTGCTGCCCCCACCCTTGCCCGAGTCTACATTATGACAGATACCCGATTCGATCACTCGTTCCACTGTAACCCCAACGGCTCTCTACTTGCTGGAATCTATTGATGCTGCATTCTTTTCCTCGGAGGCAGCATCTTGGTCGGTCAATATATTCAACTCGGGGCTTAGGATTGACAGTAAAATGAAGAAAGAGATTAACCACTTCACGATCTGACAAAATGCCAGATTGAGCAGGACCTGTAGACATAAAAATATAAGCCTCAATAAAAGTAATTCAATTTCAATTCTTAACATTCTAATACTCCACTTAGTAATGTGAACTCAAATCTGGAAGATTGTGGTATAGTGAATTACTAAATATGACTCTTGACTCCCACCAGATGACTGGGTGCAACTGGGTAAATGTAAGGTGTTTGTGGCCCACCAAGGGGACTAGATAACTTGTTCATAATGTAAATAAGGTACATGGTATCCTTGTGGGGGTGGGACTATGGAAATATGGTGTATGGAACCTTAACATGGGGATTAGTCAGTTTTGCCATTCTGCTAGGCCTAAAATGAGCCAAAAGGACCAAAATGAGCCAATAGGACCAAGATCCCAGAGCCAGAAAGTGGGGATCTCACTGCCATATAGAGAGAACAGCTGGGAGTGGAATGTGTCCTTGGACCTGAGATCCCTGCACTGAGATGGCAAAGTGATGGCAGCAGAGAGATGGTGGCAACAGAGGCAGCAAAACCAAGAGACTATCATGAGACAGAGCAGCAGGCATCCCAGACCACAGAGCGAAGAAGGTGAGTGTCTTTAGGCAGGAAGCTAATTGGTGGAGTGGCATGCCTCTTTGGGTACTTATCAGCAAAGCTAAAAGAGCTCTGTAGCACTAGTCTGAGCAAGAAATAAACTGAGGCCAAAGAAGCATGCCCGTGGCACAGGTGAGAAGCTGTCCTTATAGAAGAACTGTATCTTCACTTGTTTTCTGATTCTGATTGTAACCTGTTACTTCCCTAATAAATCCAATAATTGTGAGTATTGTCTGTGAGTTGTGTGTAGCCACAGCAATGAATTATTGAACCCAGTAGGAAGTAGGGAGTGTCCCAGAAGGGGTGGTTGGTGTTAGAATTGGTGGAAAGGTTGGAGGGTGATGTCATGCTTGACCTTCTCATAATGGAATCAGCCTTGGGCTGCTGATCTTGCTTCTTTCCTCCCCTTGTGAAGTTAGAAGAGATCAGAAGATGCTGCCCTCATGTCCTTTTTGCAAAGATGGAAGGTAAGAATGAGGTAAAGAGAGCAGAGAAAGAAAGGAAAGATGGTGGTGAACATTCCACAGCACGTATGGACCATGGAGTTGCCCCAAAGGACATTATCAAGTTTTTGCAGGATTATCGTTCAGATTAATTTCTTGCAGAACATAAGCTATTAAAGGAACATTTAAAATGTGGCCAAGATAACCAACAAGGACCATTTGCTTACAGCCCATAACTATCTTTTTGAAACCAAGTGTTTCAAAGGTACCAAAAGTATACATAAGTGTCAGAGCAGGTGAAAAATGTGAAGGTTAATGGTGACAAAGAAATCAAGTCTTAAGAGACTCTAAAAGAGGGTCCATCAAAATATACAAAATCTGTTCTTAGAAAAGGAGGTAAAACCAACTTCTCCAGAAAGGGAGATGTTGTTCATTGTTGGCACACAGGAACACTATAGGACAGGGCTGTTTCTGATATTAATACTCAAACAAGTTCAAAGAAGAAAAACATCAAGCCTTTAAATGTTGAGGATGGAATTGGGCAAGGTATCAGAGGATGGGATGAAGCACTCTTGACCATAAGTAAAGGGAGAAAAGGCTCAACTAGAGGATGAATCAGAATGGGTCTATGGAAAGAAAGGACAGCCTGATGTCAAAATTTCATCAAATGCAAAACTAATTCTGGAAGTGGAATTAGTGTATATTGACTGAATCAGTAACACTACAGGTCTAAAGACAATAGCAACAATGATAAAACTGCCTGGAAGAAACTCATATAACTAATTAGAGTTGGTTACTACTGTGTTTAAAGTTAACTGGCCAATTCAAGGAGTTAAAACCTATTTACTTGATCCCCAACTTTTGAGAAATATAATCCTTATCATAAATTCTTGAAATCTAAAATATTTTACTACAACTTTGTAAAATACTGGTTAAAGAAAACAGGTTTTCCTTTTACCCCATTTTGGAAACAAAAAGGTTCAATACAAAGTACCTGCTATCTTAAAAGAAAAAAAGAATGAGGTAGAAAGTCTTAGCATATATGCTTTTAGGCTATATATATATATTTACTTATTTATTTTCTTCTTTCTCCTTTTTTTTTTTTTTTTTATTAGGATTTGGGTGAAGATTTACAGAGTAAATTCACTTTTCATACAGCAGTTCACATATACTTTGTATCATGTCATTGACCAAAATTTACAATGCAGCAGCTCCCCTCCCACTTCCTCCCCATAGTTACCTCCTCCCAGTGTCCATCCCTTCATACTCTTCTGCACCCTGAGCTATCTCCCTGTGCATAAGCAGCCCTTCCTTCTCCATGATTGTTCTCTCCAGGGCGTGTGTCTACTTGAGGTAAATGTTTAACTCACATGCCTGTACTTTGTTTGGCTGGAAACCATGGTTGTGGGTTCAATTCCAGACCTGAAGGGCAGCTAGGGGCCATAGTCTCAGTGGTTCCACCAGGCTCTATTGGACCAGCAAACCTGGTCCCCACCTTCTTTTTTTTTTTTGCCTCCAAATGATTTTGAGTTTTGTACCACATTGTTCTCCCTCTTTATGCAGGATCTCCTACATCCCTTCCAAGTGGATGGCAGGGGTAGCTGGGCACCATCTAGTTCTTCTGGTCTCATAGTTGTATAGGTTGCAGATCGGATGGTGTACCAGTCGCTAGGACTGATTGTTTCCATCAATTTTGGTTTTCTTCTTTCTTCTTGACGAGGAGAGACCCGTTGTTGCATCTAGATGGCAGCTTCCTAGCTTTTAAGGTCCCAGTCACTACTCACCAAAGTAGGAGGTGGAACAATGTTTTGTATAGTATGTTATGCCTATTGAGCTTGATGTTCCCTGCGACTATGGTCCCAAGCCCACAGGATCAACTACTCGGTCCCTCTGGGTAGCTGGCTGTGACCAAGTAATGACCATAACCTTGCCCCTTGTCAGCTTTACTATACACCTGGGAATTCTGATCATTCACATGAACTTATAGGCCCATTGTCTGCCAACCCTATATATGATCTTGGATACACTCTCCATTTAGACATACCTAATTGTTTATAGGCTATATTTATTTTTAAAGTTAATAAATCCATTTATGATTAACCTAACAGAATGTGTTAGAATCATTAATAAATCAAAGCTTACATGAAATTGAGATAACAAAAAGATCTCTAGATTTTCCTATCTATTCATCTCTTCTGAGTACCACTGCGTTTTGCTCACCAGTGAGAAGACAGTCATTCCCTACAGTGAGGAAATGTTTATAATGGCAGCCAGAGCTCTGTGACCCATCCATTCCTCCACCTAAACTTGTCTGAGACTGTAATTACAAACAATGGAATATGTTTAGAGGTAGAACTAGATTAGGGATAGTGCTTTACTTCTGAGTTTAGAAATTAACAGGAAACAGGAGGTAAGATTAGAAGAGCTGTGGAAAAAACATACTACATATGTTATGGTTTTACCATTCACCATTACTGAGAAGGGAAAAATTCCAAATGGTTTAAACTTATCCAGGAGTAAATGCTGTTCTTTATAAAAGATGCCAGGTGATCCCTTCCAGGGCCCACAAAAGCAATCTAAATAAGACACTGAAAAACATTAGAAACTTGGCTTAAAAAGCCATAATAGTCAGATTTTGAAGTATAAGTCCCTGATTTTAAACATCAGATTAAAATGTAACAAGTATCACATAGGTCAAACATAGTATGTCACCCTGCCAGACCTGGCCCAAAGTTTGTCATGTGTAACCTTGAGATAAGGCAAGATTGTAAAGAAGGAAAAAATATAATTATAAACTTAAAATTCACATTTTGGCACTGAACAGAGCTTAAACAGCATAAAATCAAAGGAGAGACTGTGGTGGAAACTTAAGTTAACTTACGGAAAATGATTAGAAATAATGTATTAATGATGAAAATGAATGATAAAAAGCAGAGCCCAACACACAGGTAATCAGTGTTCCTGAAGAACTGTAGATAAGATATAGGATGATGCAACAATCAAAAACAGAAGAAAAATTTCTGCACTGAAAAAATTAGTCTTTGGATCATCAAGGCCTTCTTAGATATGTACCCCCTACCTAAAGAAAGTTATCAAAAATATATTGTAGTGATGAATCAAAATAAAGGTAACATAAGACAGTATCCTCTTATGGAGGAGGAGGCAAAATTTTTGGAGGAGGCAAAATTTTTTAAACAAAAAAAGCCTTCACCTTAAAGAGAAAAATTGATCAACTAAATTTCACTAAAGATAAGATCTCTGTTTATCCAAAGATAGCATTAAGATAATAAAAAGGCAATTTACAGACTAGGAGATGATACCAGCAATACATATATCCAACAAAAGACTTGTATCTAGAATATATAAAAACTTACAAATCATATATAAACATCCTGGGCAAAGGATCTGAACAAGTTCAGGTACCCAAATTCTGGTATGGTCAACATCATTAATCATCAGAAAAACAAAATTAAAACCACAATGAGATATGTCCTCATACCCACCCAAAGAGTTAAAACTACAAAATTGAAAATAGCAAGTACTGGAAAGGATGTGGGGCAAGTCCTGTCCCACAAATTCTCTTAACATTGCTGTTGAGTGTGAATTGCCATGACCAATTTGAGAAACTGTTTGGCAGGAACTACTAAACCCATATATTTGTCTACTCTATAACTTACCATTGTGCCCTAGGGCTCCTTAGTAGAGTCACTACCCACTGCCATTGAGTTGGATCCGACTCATAGCAACCCTCCTTGGGTTTCTGAGGTGGTATCACTATGGAAGTAGACTGCCCAACCTTCCTTCTGAAGAGCTGCTAGTGGGTTTGAACTGCCAGCCTTCCGGTTAGCAGTCAAATGTCTTAGGCACTATGCCAGAGCTCCCTAATAGAGTCACTAGTACTTGATAAATAACAGTTTATTTTTCTCTTTTACATAGAGAGATTGACTAACTGGCTGCCCATTAAAATACTTGTGAATAGATTTTGGCCTTACCTGCTGCAAACTCCTCAATTGTCATCAGTGGGAATCGAATTAAGGAAAGTGCTTTTCCTAGAACTTTCTGTTTGTTTCCAAAAGTCACAGGCAATTGCTGTCTCTGGCATTCTGCTTCTGCCCAACGTACAACAGCTCCAAAAAGTCGACTTTCTCGAATACTAAGTGTGTCTCTTTCTAGAACTGCACAGAGTGTGTCTATAGGTAAAACACAAAAATAAGCCAAACTGCTCTTTAACAAACTAATACTGATATACAAGCTTGCGTTGTTTTAAAACCTCAAAATATAAAAATGGTTAGATACTTAAAATTACAGTTTCTATAATTAAAAATATTAGAGAAGTAAAATAATTAAATTACAAAGTTTCCTTTAAAGGTTAACATTCAATTAGAACTTAATATATAAGCTTAGATACAGTAACTTCTTATATATTCCTTACAAAGTGAACTGATATATATCGAGACCAACATTCATAATAAATAAACCACAAATAAAGGCTCCAAATTGATAACATAAATTCATAAAGCCTACAGGTTACAATTCATTTTTTCATTCAGCGAATTTATTATCAAGTATTCACTATGTGCAATGCACTATTCTACACAATGAGGATACGTCAGTGAACAAAGAGTCAAAAATCCTTGCCCTCATGAGGCTTACATTCTAATGTGGGGGAGGGAAAGAACAGATTAATAAACACAAGCAAATTAAATAATATGTTAGTTAATAAATGTGAGAAAAAGCAGGGTAAGGGTAATCAGAAGTAAAAAACAGAATAGTTTGGGTAGGCCTCACATGCACAAAGACTTGAAACAGGTTGGAAAGGAAGCCAAGTCAATGCCTAAAGCAAGCATTCCAGGACTGCCAGTGTGAAGACTCTGATATGAAAGTGTGCCAGCATATTCGAGGAAAAGGACAGTGTGGCTAGAGTGGAGGAACAGCAGTAGACGATGAAGCCAGAAAATATTGGGACTGGGGTACAATTATATAACATCCTGTAGACCATTTAGTCTTTATTTTCAATCAAACAGGGAACTCCTGGAGGGTTGTGAGCACAATAGTGACATTTTATGTTCTAAAAGGATCACCATAGCTATCATGTTGAAAAGAGATTATATGGGGCCAAGAGTGAAAACAGAAAATCAGACACAATAATCTTGCATCAGTCAAGATCAGAGATGATGGTGGCCTGGTGTGGTGAAATGAGTTCCTTTATGTGGCCTTTTGCCTTGGTTGTTTGGAAAAAGAGCCTGAGAGATTTTTTTTCCTAAGCACTAAGGAGTTACTTTTGCCCTAGTTTTCTACCACAGAGGGTTTGTCACTTTTGCCAGATTAAATGACATTTCTTGGGTAAACTGAAAACAACTTGTGGTTGAAACTTGCTTGGCTCTGGCCTGCAGCCTATGCTGTAACTGGTATGCACCTTGTGGGGACTGGTTAATAAACCATGCAGATGAAGTGACTATGGACTATGCATAGCCTACTGTGCAAAGGAAGTATCTGTGGCCTACTATCTGTGGCCTGCACTGGGAGGGGCCGTGCCTTGAATTTAACAAGGAGTTGTGTATATAAGTAGCCAAGCCAACAGAAGTTTTTGAGACAGAAAGAAGCAGGAAGAGAAGCAGGAGGAAGCAGCAGAAGAAAACAGCACCTGAGAAAGAGAAGGCAAGGAATTTCTTAAAAGAACTAACATAGGTCAAGGGACAGCAAGAGGCCCAGAAGGGGACAGGTGGCAGAGCCAGATACAACAGGCCTGGAAGGGACCCTGTGACAGAGTTGGTAGAGAAAGATGGCAGGGCCTAGAGGAGCCTTTTCTGAGAGGGTCAAGGGAAACCTGCCCTCAGGTGATCGAGAGGAGCCCTGCACAGCTGAGAGAGCTGTGCTGTACAGTAGGAGGGTGACTTTGCCTACATGCTTCCTGATCCTGACTCTGATTCTGAGTTGTAGCCTGATGATTCTGATCCCAAGCTGTATGCTGTTATTTCCCTAATAAACCACTTAACTGTAAATATGGTCTGTGAATTCTGTATGGCCATTGCAACAGATTATCAAACCTAAAAGAGAAGTAGAGAGTGCAGGAGGGCCAGGTGGGGGTGGGGAGAAGAGCAGCTGGTGTCAGAATTGGTAAAAAAGAAAATTGGAGAGTGGAGATATAGCTGACTTCCACCTATGAGGATCAGCCTTGGGCTGATCTGGATTTGCATTACACACCCATGAAGTTAGACAACGTCTGACACCACCATTTTATACTTGAACCAGAATGGTGGCAGTAGAATTGGTGAAAAATGACTAGAGTCAGGATATATTCCTAAGGAAGATTCAATGAGATTTCCTAACAGACTGGATATGGGGTATGATAGAAAGAGACCTATAATACAGACTAGAACTGCCCCCCAGGGTTTCCAAGGCCATAAATCTTTATGGAAGCAGACTGCCTCATCTTTCTCCCATGGACTGGCTAGTGGCTTTGAACCAATGACCTTCTGGTTAGCAGCCGAATGCCTTAACCCATATACCACCAGAGTTCCTATAGAAACACAGAAGTCAGGAATAATTCCAAGGTTATAGTCTAAGCACCAGGTGCTCTGGTAGCATAGTGGCTAAGGCACTTGACTGCTAATCAGAAGGCTGGCGGTTCAAACCCACCAGCCACTCCTCGGAAGGAAGATGAGGCAATCTACTTCTGTAGTGAAACTGTCTTGGAAACCCAAGGAAGGGTCACTATGAGTTGGGTCTGACTTGATGGCACATAACAACAATAACTCTAAGCACCAGAAGGATGAAGGTGGCATCAACTGAGATGAGAAGGACTACAAAGGAGCAAAGTGTAGGGTGGGGAGGAAGATCTGAAGTTTAATTTTGGACCATATTAAGTCTGAAATCCTCACATGGCATCAAAGTACAAATGTCACCTCCATAACATAGGCTCTCTTCAGAATCATTTTCCTCTTGTCACAGGCAAAATTAAAATGAGTTCAGAAATTTTTAAGCTACAGCATATAAGTAGGAAGTTCAGAAGAGAAAGGGGCTTTGGAAGCCAGCATACCAGAATGGAATGATAAACTGGCATCTAACAGGGAATGAGAATAGAGTTAATGAAAAGTAGATATAAGTACTTGGAAAGCACAGCAGTTAAGAACCTCACACAAAGAAAAAAACAATCAATGTAAACCACCACAAGAAAAAGAACCACATGATCATATCGTCAAAGGATACAAAAAAGGCATTTGATGAAATCTAGCACCCACTCCCAATTAAAACTCTAAGCAAAATAGGAATAGAAGGGAAATTCCTCAACATGATAAAGGGCATATACATGAAACCAACAGCCAACATTATTCTCCATGGAGAGAGACTCGAAGCATTCTCCTTATGAACAGAATCAGACAAGGATGCCCTCTATCACCACTTCTACTCAACATTGTACTGGAAGTCTTAGCCAGGGCACTAAAGCAAGAAAGGGAAATAAAAGGCATCCAACTTGGTAAGGAAAAAGTAAAACTACCCCTATTTGCATGATCCTATACACAGAAAACTTGAGAGATTCAGCAAGAAAACTACTAGAACTGAAAGATTCAGCAAAACTATTGGAATCAATTGAAAGTTTCAGCAAAGTAGCAGGATTAAAAAATCAACATATAAAAATCAGTTGGATTCTTCTACACCCTTCTTTAATAAGGAAAATAAGACAACTTACAATCGCTACTAAGAAGATAAAATACTTAGGAAAAAATCTTACCAGGGACACAAAAGACCTACACAAAGAAAACTACAAAATACTACTACAAGAAACTGTAAGAGACCTACATAAATGGAAGAATATCCCATGCTTATGGATAGGAAAACTAACATTGTGAACATGTTCATACTACCCAAAGCCATCTACAAATTCAATGCGATTCCAATCCAAATTCCATCAACATTCTTTAAGGACACAGAAAAACCAATCACTAACTTTATATGGAAAGGAAAGAGAGATAAGCAAAACACTACAGAAGACAAAAATAAAGTAGGAGGTTTCACACTCCCTGACTTCAAAACCTACTATATAGTAGTAGCCACAGTAGACAAAACAACCAGGTATTGGTACAATGACAGACACATAGACCAATGGAACAGAACTGAGAATCCAGAAATAGATCCATCCACCTATGGACAGCTGATCTTTGATAAGGGGTCGAAACTCATTAAATGGGGAAGAGATAATTTCTTTAACAAATCATACTGGCAAAACCAGATATCCATTTGCAGAAAAATGAAACAAGATCTGCACCTCACACCATACACAGAAAGGAACTCAAGATGGATCAAAGACCTAAATGTAAAATCCAAGACAATAAAGTTCATCAAAGATAAAATAGGGACAGAAAGATGCAAATCAAAACAACAATGAGATACCATCTCACCCCAGCAACAATAGCAAAGTTCAACAAGACAGAAAACAACAAATGCTAGCAAAGGTGTAGCAAGATTGGAACTCTCATATGCTGCTGGTGGGACTGTAAAATGGTACAAATACTGTGGAAAATGGTAGGGTGCTTCCTTAAATAGTTAGAAATAGAAATATCATTTGATCTAGCAATCCCAATACCAAGAATATATCCTAAAGAGGTGAGATCTGGGACATGAATAGATATACACACACCCATGTTCACTGTAGCATGATTTATAACAGCAAAGAGATAGAAACACTATGTGCCTGTCAGCAGATGAATAGATTAACCAAACTACACACAATGGAATACTATGCAACATTAAAGAATAATAAAGTATCAGCAAATCACCTTATAACATGGATGAACTTGGAGGACATTATGCTGAGTGAAGTAAGTCAATCTTAGAAGGATAAATATTTTGTGAGTCCTTTATTATAAAAAGGCAAGGAAAGCTTTCTGTAGGGAAGGAAATTTTCTTTGTTCCCATCCCCAGGGATGGGAAAGGAAGGAAAATAGATAGATAGTTCAGAGACAGGTTTGATGTGGGTGAAGAAAAAAGCAATATAACAAAAGCATGTGACTAGCAGAATATCACTAAGGAAAAGGAAGACTCGGAGAGGGGCACTAGCGGTACAGACAATAAAGGCAAATACTATTACGTACACAATACTGCATTACTAGTAACAGCAAACACTAATCTATGGGTGGAGACACAGATAGACAGGCAAGAAGATCAGGTATGGATAGGTGGATGGGAATAT